GGACTGTGAAATTTACCATCTCTACGGGACTATAGCCCTCCTGAATACTGATTTGTTAATGAATTTTTATTAATTGCTACCATTTTTTTGAGCTCTTACAAAGGACATTATTAAGCATTTTACACACATTTTCTTATTCCACTCTCATGACAACTGTGTGAGGTCGGTGATTTTATTACCCCATTTTCCAGGTGAGGAAACTGAAGTTAACTCATTTTCCAAGGGCACACAGCTAGTGAGCAGTAGAATACTCTAGAATTCCCTTCCTTTGCCCATTGGAGAAGCTCTTTACGGTACTAGCTAACTGTTACTAACAGTTACCGAAGACAATTCCTGGAATCAGAGTGTGTCAGATCTGAATTTAAAAGAGTAGACATGTGATGGGTGGACACCCATACACACACACACCCCCGTGGTCCCCAGCCTTTGTCTGACAAGCTCCTGTCCCCACCTTCCCTTTGGCAGGCAGGGCATGGCCTTGCTTTTAGCACATAGAATTAAGGGCTGGGAGGGAGTGGACATGGCTGCAGGCTCTGGGAGTGTTTGCGGGCATTCTACCTCCCTTGGGGCCCCTAGGGAGCATGAGCTAATGGTACTAACAAGGGACATCTGGAATTTATCCAATTTTACTCAAATCCCATGTTGTTATGAATGAACCTAACTTGGGAAATGGAGACTGGGATCTCAGCTGTTCAACAAACAGCTCCTTCCCTTGAGTTTAGCCAAGCTATGGGGTCTTGTTCATTGCTACTTGGCTACCCTCTTGGGGATCTTTCAAAGTTCCCACTCTAGGTCACCAATCAAGAGGAACTGGGAAACATCCTACACCATCCTTCCGTAAACTGGACATATCTGCTTAGAACTGGAAAGCGAGAGGTCTTCCCAGGGTCCTGGAATCACGGCGTTTGGCTCCCGATGGGGTAGGGACCGGAGGAGTCTCTGTTCCTTGCAGCTCGGGAGTGTTTGGGGTTGGAATATTTTTTATGCTGCTCAGAATATAAAATATGCAGCCTGCTGCACATCTCTGAAAACAGACTGGGGAAAACACACTGGAAAAGAGATGAGGCAACTCAAGCCCACCTGATAAGTAATGTCTATTTCATGAGAAGGAGAGGAAGGACCGGGACCTGCTCTTGAGGAACAAACCCAAAAAGCAAGGCTCAAGGACCTTGAAACCATTAAGAGGAGCTCCTGCTCCAGCAGGGAGGGGGCCCAGGCCAGGCTGGTTTCAGGTTCCTCCTTGCTACATAGATAAATGGCCAAAGGAAACATTATCTAAGCAGTTTCACATCAAAGGCTACATGGCAAGCTGATCTTCCTTTTAATCTGACCAATAACCAAGTGAGAATGAGACAATGCGTGTTTAGGAAGAGGGCTCATGCGGTTCTGGAGTGGACTTTCCCATGCTCTCGTTCCCAGCCGTCTCCACCGAGGAGCAGTTGTGTAAGACGCTCGGGGCGGCACTGAGCCCGCGGGCCTCGTAATCACCCCACTTGGGCTCTGAACAAAGCGTTGAACCCACAGGACCGAAACGGGGGGAACGGTCGGAGCTGCAGTCATCGCTTGCCCCTAGCTGGCTCGAGGGATGCACCTGTGGCCCGCCTCCAGGCCAGGAGTCCCAACCGAGAGAGTCAGGGTCCAAATGATGGCCTCAAAGCTGGGTGAGAAATGACAGATTCTGGGGTCCTAGGAACTGATCGGCAAAGCAATGGAGTCACCCTGTGATGACTTCTTGCAGTTCAGAGCTGTGCGTGTGGCATGACATCCTGGAGCACCGGAAGAAATAGATCATCCACGAGGTTTCCATCCCCACACCGCATTGCAAGGTAGGCAGGGAAGGCATGATCATCCCGATCCCACAGAAGAAGGGGAGACCCCCCCGAAGTGAGGTGACCTACCCAAAGACACACACCTCACATAAAGGCACTCCAAGTGAGCAGTGCTCATCCCTTCCTGGACCCTCTGGGGCAATGTGCTTTTCACTCTTTCCACACTGCTGGTCAGCTGTGTCTCCGAGCCGAGCTGTCACTCTGGATGACCACCCCGAGGATGTGGGAGAGGGTCTACAGGACCCTTCCATCAGCTGGATGTGTGTGCCCGGCAAGGAGTTACAGTGAGAGCAAAGCATGGGGTCCCCCCGCAGGGAGCAACGGCCATGGCCCGCGAGCTTCCCCAGGGCAGGAGCCGTGCCCGGCCTGCTTTGAGCTCCCGCATCCATGCCAGCGCCTGGCGTCAGAAACATTGCTGGAGGGAGGGAAAGGAAGAGAAGGGGACAGAGGAGGAGGGTGGTTTCTTAGGGTCACTGGTCAGCGGTGCCGGCTCTTCCCTGACCGGCTGACGGCGACCCCCGAGAACAGTGCCAGGACTTCGTGGAATGTGTATTTTCCAGCCTCGTTGGGCTGCATTCATTAGCTTCCCACCTTTGTTTTCTTCTTTTCTCGTCCCGTTTTTAAACTCATGTGATGCTGTTGCTGTTTCTATTATTCCTGTTATAGTTTAAGCATTGTGATTGACTTTAAATATTTTGGGGGATGTTAGTCAACAACAACAATAAAAAAAACAAGCTAGAAAAACTAAGAAGTGACTGTATAAGTACATGTAACTGGCAGTGAGCCTTTCCATTCTGCCCCCGCAGAGAATGCAGTCAGTATGGCAGTAAAAGGGCCTGGAGATTTTCCCCAGCAGTCCTGCTACCCCTCCTCTCTGCACCTTCCCCAATTCTACCCACATTTTGACGCTTATTCCGAGGCCAGTGTCCTCCTCTTCACCTCCCCCAGCTAATCCAGCTCGAGTTTCTTCTAACTTAAGACAGGGAGCTCACATCCTCTCTTTCCATGGGGCTCTGGAAATTCAAAATCCCCTAATGCAGGGCTCCTCAAACCATCCCCATCCTTTCAACCTCTTGGCTGCCTGTCCTTCTTGAACTCTCTGCCCTGGGTTTCTGGGGTGTACCTCTGACAGGGTTTTCTCCCAGTTCTCTGCCTACCGCCTTCATTTCTTTCACTCAGCTCCTCCTCCTCCTTGGCCCGGGTTTTGTTTTTATTCTTGTGTTCTCTGTACAGACAACCATCACTCTTACGGTCGCGTCCCAGTCCAGTCACCCGAGTCAGGTTCCAATCTCTTACCTCCAGCTGCCTGCGGGTCTGTCCGGATATCCCTTCATCACCCCCAGAATTACATGTCCAAAGCTGGACATCAAGATCTCTCCCTAAAACTCTGTTCCCTGTGTTCAGCTTCTTGGTTCTACTTCTGTGGCCATGGCATTGCCATTTCCTTCTCAGCCAGGCTTGAAAACATAGTCATTTACTTTTTATTCTTTCATATTCACTCACCGAGTTCTGGTGACGTCCCCACTGATTTGGTTCCCTCCTCTCCATCCCGTGACCATGCCAGGATCACCCCAAACTCATCCCATCATCAGTCTGCTTCTCCTGCCATCCATTCTGCTCCCAGAATGGTAAGCTCTAAACGCTGCCTCGTCATTCTCCCGTCCCCAAACCACTGGGGACCCCCCCTCCCATTTTCTATTTCAGTACCAGGGATCTCTGGCTGACCCCCAGGACCATCGACACTCTGAACACTCGCTGGCATGCGGTGCCTGTCCCATCTCATGATCACATGACTGAGCCCTGCCTTACCTCCAGGCCCCTGCAGATTACCGTCTCCCCGGAGTGCCTGCTTCCTGCTCCCTTGCCTATTGGAATTACATGCCATCCTCAAGCCCAAATCAAAACCCACCTCCTCTGCTAGCTTCTCAGACTGTCCTCTTTTCTTGGGCATCTTCCTGTTTTGTTGTGCAGTCCAGTGTATTCACGGTTTCTTTCTGTTCCTTAGTCCCTACATTGTAATATTCTTGCCCTTTATTATCTAAAAGGTAGTGAAAAAGCATGAGATCACCAATATGAAGGCACTGAGCAAGTTTTGGAGGAAAAGGTATAATGGAAATCTCAGGTGTTAACAGTGAAAAAAAAGACCGCAAATATATGGTGCTGATGGCAAATGACGGAGTGTCTGTTAGTTTCATTAGTGACATGTGCAATGCTGTCATTTGCCTTTATGTTGGTACCATAAAGGGATGAGGTTTGAGGGACTTTGTGCTTTAAAGAACCATCAAATTTTATCTTATTCTGGATTCCTGTTATCTGTAAGCTCTATAATGCCACCTGCCAGAGGACTTTCCATGATTACTCTATGCCCATCTCATTCTCGTTTTCTTCCCGATGGCTCAAGGTAATGGACATGAGATAGAATCACAGGGAGCCCACATCTTCAATTTCAGAGTACGTCCCAGCGCCCAGGGACCCCGCGCCTAAGGCTCAATTTGTTCCTCCGAGGGAGCAACACGTCCCGCCCCGAGTCTGATTCTCTTTGTGGCCAACTCAACAGTTTTTGTTTTGTCTCACTGGACCAGGACTCAGGTGGAGACTCCAAGCATTGAAGGAGGGGATGTATGGGTCTGGAGGGGGGGGAACCCCTCCCCAGAAGCTCAACTCTGAGAACGTGGAGAGAGCAAACAAGCTCTGGCTGGTAATACAGTCACCACTTACAGCTTCCTTTTTGCAGCTGCGAAAATAGTGCATCAGGTTGTCAGCTTTTGACTTCATCTCACCACGGTAAATAAAAATAAAGCTACTGCCAAGTGCCATCAGCGATGTGAGCTCTGTCATGTAGCCCACGACTCTGAGGACAAGGCCCTCAACACTCCTTCACGTTTTAGCTTTCAGGGAGGCAATTTTGAATTAAAACAGTCGTTCCAAAGATTTCATCCATGATTCTACTTGTTGGCCGTGTAAAACAGTATGAGTACACAAAGTTTAAATAGTGTCAGAAAACAAGGGTGTTGCTTACTGCATTCTGTAAAAATACTCTCCCAGACTCCTGCTCAGTAACCAGAGAAAACAACACAGCTGAAAAACCCAGCAGCTGAGAGAAGGACCCAAGTGTACTCAGTATGACGCGAAGATTCGTAAACACAGCCACATAATCCCAAGGAGTACACAATATAAATGCTTTATTGCTAGCACAGAGGTTTCTTTTTAAGTAAATTAAAAGACATAAATCTTCATTTTCACATTCTATATTGCAGTTGAAAGGTAAACTAGCTGGTTAATGGGTATGTTCACTTGGACACACGCTAGAAGAGGAGAGCATGACATTCACATGGAAGAACTCAGAAGCGTGGCGTCTCTTGAGGCATCGGGCCCCTGAATGCACTGTCGTTCGTAAGTAACAGCAAACGGAGATTTCCTTTTAAACATCGTGAATAGACGAGACTCATAAATAGAAAACCGGTTAGAAAGCAGAAACCCATTACATACAGAAGGCTACCTACGTGTTGCCCATATTCCATGTACTTCTAGGTTATGTTTGGTACTTTTAAATAAATGATCTTCATCTAGGTTACAGACTGGATTGGATTCAGCAACTGGAAAAAGGGAAGGAGCAAAGGAAGCCGACACTGTCCGTCAGCTGGTGGATGCGCTGGAAAGCAGGAGAGGAAGTGTGTGGCTGGGGGAAAGGGAGAGGGGCTGCTTTGTGCCTCCCCCTCGGGAGGCCCGTCGGGAAAACCATGTGTGGACGAGCCACTGGGCATGGCGGGCTGGGAATGGAAATGGAACCTCCAGGCTTGGCCGGATTTTCCAAGGTTACTGCCAGTGCATTTACGACATGAGAGGCCACAGCAACACCCAGAGCACTGGGAGGAGTGGGGTTGGTGCAGGGAGCCTGGGGAGCAGAAGCAGCTTCGGAGTCCAATTGCAGAGATAATTCACTTCCTAAGAATTGTCGGCCAGCAGGGAAATGAACTTCTTTCTGCAGGCCCCCAGCACTACCCGGTACCAAATTCTTGAGCCGACTCAATTCATTTTAGGGTTGATTGTTAAGAGAAGCTTTGGAAAAAGATCTTATCAGTCAATGAAAAACAACTGCTCCCTCCCCCGCCTTATTCCAGAATCACCCAGAAGGAAGTAAACACACACGCACACCCACACACCCTAAAACCAAGCGGCAAGCTCAGAAGCTGTGAACTACATGTGATCATCTCTGGATCTGCATCTTCCTGATCTTTCACTTTTGTCTTTTATGGATGTATGAAAGCCAGACTGGATCAGGAACATCCGAGTTCTTAGTTCTCGTTACATCTGCAGTGTACCAGCTCCTGGCAGTTTCGGTCTGGTCTGGCTCTAACTAAAACCATTTCATGTTCCGCTTTGAAGAAGTGGATAACATGAAATGGTAATTTGGCTGCAAAACCCTGGAAAATTGTTCCCGGCCCAAACATCTGCCCCAAATGAGCTCAGCTGAGATCTCCTTGGAGGGGTGGGAGGGGTGGGGGGGAAGTGAGCAGAGAGAGCCTGGAAGGGGGAAAATGGAGACAATGGAAAGACGACCTTTCCTCAGGAAGAAAGTTCCTTGTGACGAAAGGCATCAGCCCATCACTCCGGAAAGAGAGACTGGGTGTACCCGGCAGTGACTTCTGCCTTCAGCCCACTTTCCCCAATATTTGGTATCGTTAAGGTGATCCCTTACAGAGTGCCAGGAAACCGTGCCCACGTGGTCTGCTTTCGTTATGCAGTGACTGGCCTGGCCTACATGTCATTACTTAAATCTTTAAATAAGGACTGGGTATGGACTTTGGATTCCTGAGAGCCGGGCCCCCCAGGGAGAGCAGAGAGGAAGGGTCCTGTGGGCTGGCCTCCACCTTCCTCCTTGGCCTTCTTAGGAGTTCTTCTGAGGGATCTTTACTGTCACCGTCTTCACCTCGGAGTACTCTCGCAAGCCGAATTCCCCCCTGAAAGGCAGAAATAGGCTGTGTCAGACACCCAAGGCCTGGGCAGCCTGGTGTGAGTGATGGCAAGAGTCCCGAGAAGGGGCCGTTTAGCACTTGCTAACAGTAGGCCCTGGGGTTTCCATGTAGAAATGTCCAATGAGTGGACAGTCCAGCCCTCCTCTGAGGAGCAGAGGGGGCTGTCCTGTCACGAGCAGTGACCGTTTCTTAAAGGCAAAGGCTGATCCGTCTTCCCAGTATGGCCCAGGAAGGGGCAGCATTCCCAACTACTCAGAGAAACAGGCATGCGTGTTAGCCTGGGCCAGCAGTCACACAGACCCTGGACCATGCCCCTGGGTGGGCACCACAGACAGCAGCAGGCCCGGGCCCTTACCGCCGTGTCTCTACCATGGACAGCAATGGCTCTGGAGGACAATGGTGTGCTTTCCTCCTGCCACCTGCCACCCCGACGTGTCTGTGTTCTAGTCGCTCTCCTAGACACCTAGTCCACTTTAGCTGAAAGAAAAGCCTGAGATTTCTAGGCTGGGATCCCCTGGATGTTCTAAATTCTTTTCCACTGGTCCTTAGACTTAACAAATGGAAGCGGGGACCCAAAGGCCTGGGCAGGGAAGAGCATGGATCACCAGCAATGCTTTAAAGACAATCCTGACACATGCTGCCCACAGCCCCACAGAGTCAGGGGAAAGAGGGAGGAAATCCAAGTACCTGACTTCAAAGGAAGTGGCAGTAAGGTGGTCCCCCAAGACTCTGGGTAAACGTTTATGGGGTGGGAGCTGGGTCCCCTGCCTCTGCGGGGGCCAGGGGACGCTGCCCTTCCTGGCCCCCTGGTCCCGCTGAGCCGGGCTCCAGCCACTGCCCTCAGGGGGCCGGGGTTCGGCCCAGCTGGCGGCTGCCGTGCTCCCTTCCTTCCCCTCTGTGTCGTCTCTCCTCAGTTCACCTCATTTCCATCACCTTTTTCACCTTTCCTTTATTTCATTGTAAAGTCAAGCATGTTCTCCTAATTTTCTCTTTCAAAAAATGAACTTTTCTCCCCCTCTATTCTTTTTAAAGTCACTGGCCCGTGAGGCTTTCCCTGGCTCTCTCAAGGGGAGGAGCTCCTCCCTCCTCTGTGTTCACAGAGCACCTGGTGCGCCGACCACCACAGAGCTGTCACCTGTCCCCGGGACAGAGGCCGTCTCCCCCTGCAGACCTGTAGCTGACTGTTCCTGCTTCCTGCCGGCCACCGAACCTGGTGTAGAGCCCACGGCTTCAGGCTCGGACGGCATTTGTGGAAGGGAGGGACAGAGGGAGGGCTTTTTCCCATCCCCCTTCCCCAGTTCCACCCAGTGGATATACCACTTCTGCCAGGAGAAAATAAAAGAACACTTAGAGATTTATTTGACTAAGAAAATATTAATAAAAAAAGTCACATATGGGGTGCCTGGGTGGCACAGTCGGTTAAGCAACCAACTCTTGGTTCAGGTAGGGTCGTGATCTCAGGGTCGTGAGCTCGAGCCCCGTGTCGGGCTCTACACTCAGTGTGGAGTCTGCTTGGGAATCCTTCTCCCTCTCCCCCTTCCCCAATCTCTCTAAAAAGAAGTAAATCTTTAAAAAAGATCCCAGTCATGTATAAAAGATACGATGTTACAGTGACTGGGCTTTACAATAAAGACCTGCTATAAGGGATTCATGCTGCTTCCTTCCAGGAACCCCGTGCCCTGCACAAGGCTCCAATTATTTTGCCAGCAGCAACTCTGAGCACCCAAGTCACCTGAGTTGTCATGCCCATGCCCTCCCCGCCGGGACATCAGAGGCAGCCAGGGAGAGACCAGGGCATGTGTGCTGTTCTCTTATCTGTGTTGGCCATCTTGCTTACGGGAATGAGAATCAATTTGGGACTGTCCCACTCAGTATGAGGTCCCCTCATTAGCTCCTTCCAGGCCCTGAGTCTTTATTACCAGCTCAGCTCTGTCTCCTTCTCGACTTCTTCCTGCCCTTGGGCAATTCTGAAAGTGTCTCTTCATCACAGACATCATCTGCCTCCTGTTTGAAGTGAGGTTACTCCCTTCTTGTTTCCTGGCTTGCGCACGCACATGGGGCAGACCCTGAACCATCTCCTCCCACTCAGATCTCTAAGTCTGTTGTGAGAAGCAGAAGGAAGCCTACAGAGTCAGAAGCGTGGTGGTATGGTTGCTTTTGAGTGTGATGATTGGTTCCTGTAATCTTTGGGCGCACAATGCGATGGAAAATCATCCTGGGCTGGAGGAGCTCCTCCCCTGTGTCTCGGGCAGCCATCTGCCACCCTGGTTCGCACACAGCCTGCTCCGACAATGAGGAGTGGCCTCGAATCTGTCATAAAAACAACCCTGGAGCTGGGGGTCAGCAGGCAGGCATGCCCACTCAGCTCTGCCATTAACTGGCTCTAAGACTAGGCGAGCCACCCCATCCTCCTGGTGCCCGGGCATCTCTCAGGCATCAGGAAACGTAAGGATCGTCCTTGGAGCTTGCTTACATTGTGGATTCCTGACCATCCCCACTGAAGACTCTGTCCCGGTAGGTCTGGGGAGGAGCCCAGGAGACTGTGATGCAGGTGGTTGTTTGGGCCACCCTTTGAGAAGCGCTGCTGGAAAGTCTCTGAGAGCCCCACGTTTAGATTCTTCTGCTATTTCACCATCTCATTCTGGGGGCTTTCTCTCCAATCTAACTTAATCCAGTTAAATCCCACAGTTACGGGAGAACTGCACTACGGTGCAAACGTAGACACGCCGCTCCCGCTGTACCCCAATCTCTCTGCAGAGCTCCACGGTGCGTCCGGGCAGAGGCACACTCAGACGCCTGTGTTCCTGCTTCTGAGCCAGACTGGGTTATATTCCCTACCACTAACCAAACCTGGCACCCCACAGGCAAGTAAGATGTTAGATTTGGGTGCCTCTCAGCCAGTCACTGTAGAAAATCACTCATAAAACAAAGAGGGATTTCCATGTAGGATGTATACTTCCCTGCTCTTTTCTTTGCCTTACAGCAACATTTCGCAGAGCAGGGTTTCCAGACCACCTGCGCCGAATCATTCCAGAAGCCTGTTATCAATGCAGAACCTCAGCTTTACTAAAGCCAAATCTCTGAGAGTGGGTCGCCAGACAGGCACACGTGGCAAGCCCTTCTCCCAGACCACAGGTGACTTTCTGTGCACAGGCATGCTCTGCACCTACATATGAGCACACATGCATGCATGCATGTGCATGCGAACTTGGGAAGCCCTTATTATCCTAATAATGCTTCTCATCTTCAAAGCCGATGTCCTTAGTTTTTAAAATGTTGAGGTTCACAGCTTTCTTTCCATGTGCTGTTTGTGACATGTATTTTATAGCTTGTCTCAGGGAAGCTTAAATGAGGAGTAAGGGAGGGGTCAGGAGGAATGAAACCGGGAACTGGCTGCAGGGCAGGTCTGAGCCGCCCCCATCTCTGACCCTGGGAATCAGAGGCCAGCCCATCGGGGTACCTGTAGAGGGCAGCCCTCCACAGCGCTCTGTGGGGGGAGAACTCCGGTGCTCCCACAGTCCGCCTTGGAGCTTGTTTCCCGAAAGTGCTACTTCTCCGTGCCTCTGAGAGGTGGGAAAAGGGGTGCCAGGGACCAGAGCCACATGGGGTTTGCAAGGCCAGGAGATAAACAGTACTGTCCAGAGGAGGGTAAGGGGAGTTTCTGGGATTGCAGTAAGTAGGAAGGAAGAGTGGGGGACCAGGATAGAGTAGGTTCTTTTATTTGAAGCCTTTGCGACCACTCTAGGTCATTTAAGGAAGAAAAAACGTTTGGGGAGCAAGTAGGGACTAAGAATCATATAATCTAGGCAAGATGAAGTGAGTCTCATCAAAGAGCACTGTTCCCTAATTATTTTTTAACTGCACTGCAAAGGCCAAATCACTACAGCACCGAGACAAGTCGAGAAAGGCTGCTTTTCAGTCTCTTGGGCCACTGTTCTCTGTGTGGTTCTGACACAGCCAAACTGTCTCCTGGCAAGTTCGTCTCTTTGCCTTTCCAGGCAAGGGGAAGGTTTCTAATGGGAATAGACTGGACCTGGACAATGTCACAAGCCCGAATCCTGTCCATGCTGAGGGTCCAGGACAAGTCTGGGATAAGCTCCATCAACCGGCAATTATTTATTATATTTTATGCCCATGATTCACCCTCTTAATGATCTGTAACAAAACAGTCGGCATGAGAAGCATTCCCAGAGCCAGGGATCGTCCCAACATTTCAGAGACCAAGAAGGCACAAACACAGAAGCGGGACACGGAGTATCAAGTTACATGCATGCTGAGAAGTGGGAGCAGAAAGTGAAGGTCATATGCAGGTTAGGAGGAGATAGCTGGAGTACTCGAGGACTTTGTAAAAGCTGAAAAAATACTGATAACAGAGCAAAGAGGATCCGGACTGCTTCTGTATCCTCTGGTTTACTTGCTGTAAGGCAAGTGGGAAGCACTGAAGGCCAGAAGCAAGACTCAAGCAAGAGTGATTTCTCCCAGCATTCCCAGGGACAGAACAGAAGTTGATGATGCGAGCCACACTTCCAAAGTAAGACATTTATTAGGAAAAAGAAGGATCACCTACATAACACTCATCTACTTGACCACTAGTGACGATATCAGCTAACATTTCTGGAGGCTTGCCAGACACTGCTGGATATCTGGAACACTGAATCCTACCATTTAATCCTCACGGCAACTTCTGGGGTAGGTACTATAATTATTCCCATTTTAGAGATGAGGAAACAGAGGCTTAGTGAGATAAAGTAATTTGTCCAAGGTTGCATAGGTATTAAGTGGCAGAGCCAGGATACGTATCTGAAGCCATGTGATTCTAGAAACTCTGCTCTTAGCCTCACCGCTATGCTTAACTTCAGTTTAATGGCTAAGAGCTAGAAATTACCAGCTGAAGTATCCGAAGCATGTAAATCTTCTGCACTGGTCTTACGGGTTCACTCTACTTTGTCCCCAACACCGTACTTGTTTCTCCCACAACTGCCGCTACTCACTCTTCCTCCACTCTTACCAACCCTGCAAATTATTCCCCTCTCTCCAGCTACCCAAATGTTCCTCTCCTTTAAAGGCCAATTCAAATCACTAGGTTTGATCCTACCTAAAGGTTTTCCAGGAGTCTATAGCTCACAATGATCTCCCCCATCCCTGAACTCCTCTATGACTTCACGGTCTTCTCTGGAATTCTTCTGATTCTTTCAATGTTGTATATTTCATTTATCCAGCAAAATCTCAAGTGCTTTGATGAACCACATCTTCTCCCACAGGCCAAACACTCAATACTTCAGCAGACTGATCATGAACTGGCATTGGCTCCCAAAAGGATGCATTCATTAATGGCAGAGGGAATGGACATAAGGATGTTTCCTCTTGGGAGTCACAGGATTTAAGAAACACAGAACCAGCTCCTTTCAAGAGGAGGGAAAATTTTTTGTTTTTGTTTTTTTAGAGAGAGTGTGAGTGGGGGCAGGAGGGAGGGGCGGGGTTGGGAGAGCAGAGGGAGAGGGGGAGAGAGAGACTCTCAAGCAGACTCCACACTCAGTGAGGAACCCAATGTGGGGCTCAATCTCATGACCCTGAGATCATGACCTGAACTGAAATCAAGAGTTGGACGCTTAACTGACTGAACCACCCAGGTGTCCTGGGGGAAAATGTTTTTTTGTTTTTTTATTGGGGGAGGTGCGTGTCAGCTCAGGAAGACCCTGGCTACCATTCACACTCTGAATGCCACTCAAAAAATCCATTTATATATGAAGGCGGCAAATAACATCCCCTTGAGTGTAGTTCTCCACTGCTACAGTCCCATTTTTCAGGTCCTTTGCCTCACAGGAGGACCCTCCACAGCTCTGATCCCGGCCCTGAAGAGTCCCCACACCTGGCCTCCCTGCTTCCTTGGCTGCATATCACGGCAGCCACTGAAACCTACGTTCAAACCTCACATCTGCCACATACGGGCTGTGTGACCTGGGCAGGCTGCTTAGCTAGTGCAAGCCCCAGTTCTCCACCCAAACCATGTGGGATGTGAGGGGAAGTGTATCAATCCCACTCTGTCGTCATGAAAATCAAATGAGACATTAGGAAAGAAGCTAACGTAAAGCCATACACAGAGTGGGCATTTAATGAGTGATACCTATCAGTGTTAATTGTAAAATCCTCGTGATGGGTCTTCTTCCTCTAGTCTTTGCCAGGATGTCCTCTACCTGCCAGAAATCTCAGCCTTAAAACCTCTGGTATCTCCTCAGCTCCCACAGAATGTCTAAGCCCTCAGAGACTGGGTTTAAAACAACCTTTCCACTTGTATCTTCAGCATCCTCCAGCCATCCTACGTCCAAACCCTGCAGTCCCAGCCTCAGAGAACCTACAGGAGCAGAGCAGGCGATGTAAGGGAGGGGCTTGGGCATGTGTAAAAACGAAGGGCTACCAATATTCAGGCCCCAGAAGCAATAAGGACAGTGGGGAAGAAGGCGAGTTCTAGAGCTCACAGCTGCAGCAATTTTGCTATGGAGGAATGAAAATAAGCAAGAAATCCAGATTTTATGGAAAGCCTCATTTTTGAATGCCAGTTAAGGATTTTAAAATGTGGGGCAAAGTGAAACACTTCTGCAGGCCAGATTTGTCCTTGGGCTGGCAGATGGTGACCTCTGTTTTAAACACACCAAATCCCTGATGTTCTCTATTTGTTGTACCTTCACGCCTTGGTTCCCGCTATTCCCTCTACATGGCAAGACTGGTCCTCACAAACTGAAACGTGATTTGCTCTGTGAAGTCTTCTCGGACCCCAACACGCAAATTCCATGGATTGTTTCCTCTGTACTTGCAAGAGGTTTGGCACACTTCTATCAAAAAAGCAGCCCTGATTTTGTGAAATAGATAGTAAATTTTTATCCATTCCCACGTAAGGGAAGGGAGTTGTGTTCTATTCATCTTTGTGACATGTAGCACAGTGCTTCGTTTATAGAAGTACGTGCTTAACAAACTGCTGAATGAATGGATGAGAGTAAGAGAATTAAACAATTGTGTGCATACTCCTCTAGGCTGGTATTTGTAATCCGTTTCTCTGCAGGCACCAGCAACTTTGGACACTTACATTTCTCTCCCATTTCCAGACATCTTGAATCCCCCAAAGGGGCTCTGGACATTTAAGGCATTGTAACAATTGATCCTAAGAAAAGAAAACATAGTACCGTGAGTGTGAATTCTGCTTGCACAGAAGTAGTCCCCTCAGTATAACAGTTCTTTTAAAAGTTTTATTTTCTAATTCCCCTTTTTGCATATGAAATATTTAGAATTTAAAATTGACTTTGATCTCCTGACCTAGCCATTAAGGAGTGTATATCCCTCTTCAGGGCGAAGGCTGGTTGCCTTCCGTCTTCCCCATCCCCCCGGAGGATATGCTTATGACCCACACTCCAGAGATCACGAGTACCGCCAGTGGTGTGCGTTATGGCCAGAACCATGAGGCTGGCCCTCATCTTACCAAACAGTCCCAGCCTGCATTGCAGAAGACACTGTGAGCGCCTTGTTGATGTCATTAGTGAAGACGGCTGCTACAAGTCCAAAGTCTGAGTTATTGGCTCTTTCGATAACTTCATCCATAGTCTTAAACCTCAGAATTTCCTGAACAGGTCCAAAGATCTGCAACAAAACGGTGTGAGCCAACATGGGGTTGTTGCTCTGCCTTCATTATTTAAGTGACATTTAAGTTTAGTAGCACAGAACTGTAAAATTGCTCAAACTTTGCCAGAACAGGATTATGTGAGTCTAACTCTAGAGTTCATTTAAGGCCCCCTCTCCTCCATCCTCCCTGGCATCCCCAGATCCCACGGTCTGTACCAATGCTGCCTTCTCTGTGATTCCCCAGCCACTGCCCCAGACCTCAGAACAGCTGCTGGCTGAGGTGCTCCGGTCACCCTCCTGCACAAACGTGAGGTGGCTTGGATGCTTTCTCCTTCCCGGCGGACAGCTTAGTAACCCCACGTCTGAAGGATTGACCTGTGACTAGCATATTACTAAGGCCAGTGATCGGCTGTTATGATTGTCCTCTTGGCTAATAATAATTGCAGTCAAGGAGCACGTCACGACCTGCCTCCATCTAGCTTGCCTGCCTTCTGATTTAACATTTTCTTGAAAGCAGGATTTGCACAGACATGTGTATTGTTACAGAATGTATATCAAATATAAAGAGCCAGAGCTAGAATATCATCTACAAGAAATGCTCTGGAAGCCATCCCAAGAAAGGCACGGCTTCCGCTCGAACCCCATATTTGATACCTCCTCTTTGGCAATGCGCATGTCATCGGTGACGTTGGAAAACACGGTGGGCTCGATGAAAAACCCCTTTCGGCCCAGCCCTTTGCCTCCACATTCCAGCTTGGCACCCTCGGCCACACCACTCTGGATGAGTTCCAGGATCTTGTTGTATTGTTTCTTATCAATCTGCAAGAGAAATTTCCTAAAGACTCCATGTAAGGTCTTCTATGAAAAGAGAAAGAAGTGTGTACTCAAGGATCTCTCACTTGTGATTTTTTCAAAGCTCCATTATATCTGGTCATGTCATAGGGGACTGCTGCCATTTAGGCACTGTTCTCCGAAAAAATGGTCACTTTGTATGTTTAATCCGATATACCGAGAATTCCATTAAATGCACTGCACGGATGATGGGGCCAAGTCAGAAGTACCAGATGCAGAGTTAGGCAATGTTTCTAAATGATGGAGAAACTGGCTAATTGATTAAACGCGGTTTCTAAATGGGGAAAAACTGACCGCTATAACCAAATGAACAGTTCACCAAGTTGAACTGATACTAAAAAGATGAGAACAATAGGTAAGCTCCATGGTGCTTTAAATCCTGCTGGGGTCTATTTTTGATGGAGCTCCTATTACACCTCTAGAGGAAAGGGTTAAGTATAAAGAGCAGGGACCAGCTTCCTAGTCCATAAAATACGGTTAGTCTTGCCCACCCCCCAAGTTATAGTCATCATTCAATTATGATGGTAAATACAAAAACCTAAATTCACTTAAGTTTGAATTACTCGGCTAGAACATCAGTCATCTCTCAAATGGTCCCCAAATCTAGGAGATGTTTCTTATCGGGAAGACCTATATGTCAGAGATTCAGATGCAATCTGATCCAAGTATCCTTTAAAAATTCCCAGACTCTATCTACAGTTTAAGATTCGACCAGAATTCTATCCAGAAATACACCTTGGTGATTGTGGAGAACGTGCAGAGCCAGATAGTGTGGGACTTTTGTGGCCCTCCCCACGGCACTGCATGAAGCCTACAGAGTAAGAGACAACCATACAGCAGGGGGACAAGTAGACAGCCCTCTATTCCCTACACGTTACAAGCCACAAGTAGGCCAGTTTGGCAGAGAGATTCCTTGGCCACGGATGAAAGGATACAGGGCTTCTGAGAAAGAGAGATACCCACTCTCCCTGACCGTGGCATTTGCAGGGATGTCTTGAAGGCCAGTGGTGAGGACTGGTGGGTTCTCAGGTCAACCTCCATCTTGTCATGCTCAGGTCCTTCCTTAGAGCTAAGAGACTCCCACTTACCCCCGGAGTCCAAAGCAGCCTTGAGGCAACTTTAATTCCTTAATGTTTCCGAGATAACATTTCTGAAGGGAAAGGGAAGCTTGGGGAATAAGCAATGCCTCACCAGCTCCAATTCCAGCCACGAAGCCCAGATGGGAGAGCAAGGAGGCGGGAAAAGGATGCTGTTTCCGGGGTCCCACTAGAGTGTCCGGCGCTCGCCCTGGAAAGTGCTCTTCCCCAATACTAATACTACGAGGAGAAAGGGAATGTTTATGATTTCGCTACCTGGGGTCCCTGCTCCGTGGTGGGATCAAAGGGGCTCCCCACGATGCGCCTCTTGGCCCGCTCCACGCTTCTTCTCACAAACTCCTCGTAGATGGACTCCTCCACAAAGATGCGAGACCCAGCAGTGCAGCACTGGCCCTGGTTGAAGAACACTCCCTGGTGGGCCTGCTCCACAGCGTAATCCACTGCAAGAGGAGACAGCCTTGTCCTCAGCACCATTCACCCGCGGAGGGCCCGTCCATGCAGCCCCCTCCCCTCCCCCGCCGGAGCCCCGGGTCTAATGCCGCGCTCACCGCACAGTGGAACCGTGAGGAGGCGGCACAGGGGACAGCAGTGGCTTGAGAACACAGTTTAGGACAAGTTCTGGCTAGAGCCTGACGTGACTTGCTACGTGACCTTGACCTTGGACAACTTCACGTCTTTGCGTCTCGTTCTTCTTCTGTAGAACGAGGGCCTGGACCACACCATCTAGAACGGGAGTCTCAAGCTCCACGTGCCAAGGGGCCAGGCAGATAATGGAGTGGTATCAATTGGCCAGCCAGGAAAACAATCTGATGGAGACTCAGAAGGAAAGCCACTGCATTTGGCTGTTACTGTGCATGAATGTAAGCCCCTGGGTTGCCAGATTCCGATTTTAAGAAAAAACAGACATCAGGATTTTTCTTTTCTTTTCTTTTCTTTCCGAGATTTTATTTATTTATTTGACAGAGAGAGAGACCGCGAGAGAGGGAACACAAGCAGGGGGCGTGGGAGAGGCAGAAGCAGGCTTCCCGCAGAGCAGGGAGCCCGATGCGGGGCTCGATCCCGGGACCCTGGGATCATGACCTGAGCCGAAGGCAGTCGCTTAACCAACTGAGCCACCCAGGCGCCCCTGAAATCAGGATTTTTAATGTGTAGTTTTTATTTTTTAAAGTGCTGTGTGACATTTTGACAGTTAAACATATGTATGCCCTGCGTTGGGTCTAGGGACTGCCAACTTGCAATCCTTGATCTACAGAACTTCATAGCTGTATGTTTAATTAGTATTACGGTGAATTAAACTCTAACAGAAATGGAGCTTCTTGAAAGATACCAAGTTTTCTCTACATTTACTGGAATTGTATAGCAGCAATAACTTTCATCTCAGAGCTTCCACTTCAAGATAGGACTAGCAAATAGTGTGTGCTGGTTGCTAAATGACTGACTGAATCAATCAGGCACGCATCAGTCAATCAGTCGTGTCAATGGAGGACCTACTCCCCAAGAGAAATTTAGGGTGACAGTTCTGATCCCTCTGACAACCAGCATGACGCTGATGCTTTATTCTTCATGGGCTCCAAGTTGGGGCTGAAAGGCAAGCAATCCGCTTTCTGTTTTCTGACCTCCCAGTGGTGAAAGGGAAAGCAGCTCTGTCTGGTGGGATGGGAGGAAGAAAAAGAGGGTCCAAAAGAGCTTTTGAATTTTTATTCCCTGGAAAGCTTTTCAAAACAGAAGGACCACACCGATGCAGAATGGCCTAGAGGGCATCCTGCCTGGACATGGGGTTTCCTAGATTACTGCTCCACGCTGCCATAGGGTCCTACTTCCAAGGTATAAGCAACTGACCAAAGTGCATCGACATTCTCAAAGTCATGGAAGCAGCAGAGGATGGGGGTACTAAACAGAGGAGGGGTTGTGGGTTTGGGAAAATGTTGGCAGGGCTAGGGAACTAGAATTTTTGTAATGATCTACAAAGCCACCAGACACCGTTGAGAACTTTCAGATTTCTTGAATCTAAGCAAAGAGAGGATATTTCTGGTTTTGAGAGGCTTAGACCATTGCTCTTTCCACTACACAGCACAAAGCAGGCCTTCTGCTCTTCTATCCTGGCCTGAAGTGCCACAGAGTCAAAGCAGCTCAGGAGAGCCTAGAAAACACTCTGTTCAGCTATCAACTGGCAAGTGCTCTTCCCCAATACTAAACTAGTTGCCCTCTAGGAGGAAGGGTCCAGGTTCTTCTACTTGAAGCTTCTTCTTAGCCTCACAGATCTTTTTCTTAGTGTCCTGTCAAAAGTGGAGATACAAAAGAGAGCACCGAGGGGCAATGTACCGGGACATGGAGGAGATCTGTAGTTGACTTACAATCAGCATCAGCAAAAATAATATTGGGACTTTTCCCTCCAAGTTCCAGAGTTACTCGCTTCAAGTTACTTCTTCCAGCTGCTTCTTGGATAAGCTTTCCAACCTGAAAGAAAGGAAATGGAGCGAGGTTTTGCACACCTTGCAGCTGAGACAGTCAGTGGCCAAAGCCAACGGTGGGAGGCAGCAGGGATGGATCCTGCAAGGCAAACTAGCAAACTAGCCCCATGGACAATGCAGGAGCAGCTCCCGTGGTCAACTTGGTCAACTTGGGTGGACAAGATACAAGTCAGTTGGGATGCAGTTTAATGTCTAATTGGAAGTGAACTGGAAGTGAATTGGAAGACTGCTTTAGTTTCATGATGAAAAGAGCACTGAAAAGGGGTTTAATCTGGAAACTTAATCATTGAAAGATTTCTTTAAAGGCAACTGGCAAGCAAAATATGACTAGAGGTTTTCTACCACTGTACTGTGGCTTTTAGCTCTGGACTCTGGTCTCAAAAAAAAAAAAAAAAAGGCCAATTGGCTCCACATGAAAGACATGATGACTGTAAAAGAAACTCTTCATGGATTTATAAAACTGCCAGGTATGACTTTAATCAGATGGTTCAAAGAAGATACAGATGTTACACCTTTGCCTCTGCCTAGTTCTGTAAGTAAAAGGAGTCCAGACAGCTGAGGATCTGTCTGTATGTGTGCAATGCCTATTTACTTAGAAGCCAAGCAAACAAGAAGCTAGGCTGGAGATAGCATTTACCACTGTGTAAAGTCGTGTTTCTAATGAAATTGAAAGCGTTCAAATGGAAACAGGGATGTACCACCTACAGCCTCCCTTCGAGGAAGAACACACTGATTACCTCGGTGAGTAGAAATGCTGCCAGATCCTTCAGAGTTGGCCTCAGATGAAGAGCGTTTTCTTGCCCAAGAGGATCCCCTTCCCCTGGGTGGCCTATCCACTGGTGGCAGGGGTACGAAGATCCTCACTTTCAGCTCACCACAGGACAGCTCCAGAGGACAATCTATGTGCCGCCATGCTGCCTGTTGTTGGCGGAAGCTACCAGGCCTGCATTGCAGTTCAGTTTCCCCTTGTGCCCACTTCCCTTCAGCAGGGATCCCTCATAAATAATCAGCATGGCAAACTGTCTCAGCAACTGCTTCCAGAGAACCTGAGCTGTAATAGAGTGCTACTCTACTATGGAGTAGAGGTCCCTTTATGGAAAATGCCAAGTCCCCACAGAGCCCATATGGGCAGTTTGCTCTTGTTGAGATGAAAAATGCAACTTTTGCCTGGAATCCTACGGAAAATAAAAGATTTTAAAAGCCTGGAGAAGAGAAATGCTACATTTCAGCCCCTCCTGCCCCTTGATATCCTCAAGTAGGGCTAATAACTCCTCAGGCAGTGTAGTCATGGTTGAGAGAAAAGGCTCCGGAGCCTGGAAGTTTTACTGATTTTATCACTTACCAACTGTTTGACCTTGGGAAATTAATTTCTGAGCCTCAGTTCCCTCCTCTGTAAATGGGGCTAAAAATAGTATCTACCTCAGAATCCACTGTCCTGAGGATTAAGTGAAGGTACTTGGGCCTTAAAACCTAGCCTGGTACAGAGTAAGTACCCACACATGGTAACTACACACAGGCAGGAGAAGTCGGGGCCCCTCTGCTTCCTTGTTCAATGCAGAGAAATGGAGCTGATTGTAAAAGGAGTTACTGCAGCTAGACTTTCCAAAGCAGGTCTCCCCTTCTTCCCTCAAACAGCCTCTGCATATCAATTGCTTCAGGAAAATATTGGGGAAATGCTGACTTCCCTCAGCCTCTAATATTACTCATTCACTGGATTAAATGCTTTTATGTTATTATTACTCTCCCTCATGGCAAAAAAAAAAAAACAGAACGTGGAAAATATACTTTCATTCTAAGGAAACCTGTGGGGGAAAGACAGTGATGTCTCTGAAAGAGCTAGAATTAGAGAGTTTCTTAATTTGCAGGACAACGCTAGTTTCCAAGGGGTTGAAAAATACTAACATGTGACCCTAAAGATTAATAGGTGGGCATCAGCCCCCCAGTCAGATGGTCCCTCTCCCGCCTTGCCAGGTTGTCTTGTCTGTCTTCTACCTCAAGGTAGACTCCCTGGGAAGATAGGCTAATAAAGGCCCTGTTCTCAGGCAGACATGCTCCCTCTCCCTCTTCTTCAGGAAGAAATTACATGTATATGATGGAAAGGAGAATCTGGCTCTCTGTTGTGGCAAGAGAATAGCAGTCAGGTGGAAGTTATGACTGAAGCCTGAGATCTCGAGCGTGAAACCTGCACGCAAGGGCAGCTGGGACAGCGCCGTGGGGAGTCCCCGACCAGGCTATTCCCCGCGACCGCCTGTTGTCCTGAGGAATTCTAGGGTTCTTGGCTCTCTCTGCCCTGAGGAATCCATATTCACTGATGATGACTCATCTTAAAGTCCAGGAAGATAAACAGGCAAGTGCTTTCTCAAAAAAAGGCAACCACTGGAATTCATGAAAATTATTAATTATAATAAAAAAAACCTAACATTTGCTGAGTCGTTCTGTGTCAGACATTGGCATGTATGAGCTCATCTAAGTCTCGCAAAAATCCTTCAGAGTAGGTACTATCTCATGTTAAAGGCGACCAAACTGAAGAGCTGGAAGCCAACGGATGTTCCCAGGTTACCCGGCAGGTGGCTGGTAGAGCCCATCAGAGCCCAGGGAGACTGACGCCAGGGGCCAGGGGTGGGTCACTTGCTCTATGCCCCTCCCTTCCTCTCTACTTTCTGCCCTGTCTGCCTTCCTTTCTATATTTACTGAGCACCTGCAGCGTGCCACACACCACCAAAACCTTGGCCCTGAACTCCAAATTGATTTCACAGTGAGTAGGAATATCCCCTTTTGAAGATACAGATGATGGTCACACACGATCAGCTGCAAAACTAGCAGTTGGCCTTCAGAGTGACAGAAATAAGAAACAAGCGAAGGCATGGAGAAATCACAGGTTTCACACACAGTAAGACGCTGAGTAAATGTCTGGGGCTGGTAAAGGGAGTGCTGGCCCAGCTGGTATCACGGTTCTGTCAGCCCTACTCCCTGACATTAATGAAAGGAGTTCTAGGAGTTGGTGTTTTTTGCCACAAGGAAATGTTGTCCAGTGATTATTTTCATGGCTACAGTAACTATACAAAAACCTCCCTCAGTCTGTGGTCATCAGAGAATACCTAAGAATAATTTTTCTGGGGTCAGTGCTTTGCCAGTCTTTCCTTAGAAACCAAATTTGTACTAAACATTGCAAGGCAAGTCTCAGATGAATAATGCCTTTCCTCTTCATCTTTGGAAGAAGGTCAAGTTGCAGCTCGGCCTCAAGAAACAGCTGGATGGGGGCGCCTGGGCGGCTGGTTAAGCATCTGCCTTCAGCTCAGGTCATGATCCCAGGGTCCTGGGATCGAGCCCTGCATTGGGCTCCCTGATCAGTGGGAAGCCTGCTTCTCCTTCTCCCACTCCCCCTGCTTGTGTTCCTGCTCTCGCTATCTTTCTGTCAAATAAATAAATAAAATCTTAAAAAAAAAAATAAAATAGTATAGCAAAAATTAAAAAAAAAAAAGAAAGAAAGAAAGAAACAACTGGATGTATGAGGCCACGGGAGAACCATTCCCATCTGGAGCAGCCTCTGGACCGGACACTGAGAAAAACCCAGTTTTCACTGATCCCCTTCATTCACCATGTATTGCTGGTTCTCCTACTTCGTGTCAGGTGCAATGCTGGGCACAGTCCTGCACCCGGAGGGCACTCGCAGCTAAGAGGACTGCATTATAAACTTAGCAGGTGCTCAGTAAGCGAAGCTTTGAGGTCCACTTGGGAGAAAAACCTGGGTCAGAATGTAGTATTAGATCTGAGCAGATGGGATTAGGGCTCTGCAGTACTTTGTTATAAGCCAGGGTCAGGGCACTCTGGTCCTTATGCACAGAACTGGACTTCGGAGAATGTACTATTGCTCATGAATTCTCTCTGTGAGTGCCAAATAGGCACTCCTCATGATCACTACCAAGATGGGAAAAGAGATGATGGAAAGGAGAACAGATACAACTCCAAAGCAGGAGATTCTTAACAGGGCAAAGTAATGTTTAAAAACAAAGAGTTCAAGTGAGAACTGACTCCGTGCCTGCTTACAAAATATGATAGGTCCTGTGCAAACTAGCCTAAAATACTCCTTGTACAAACCCCATACAGAGGTTTCCAGAATTACAATCTATGGAGTTAGACAAGTTCAGAAAGAATGAAATACAGGCACTACACAAAGGCCTGGGGTTAACTGGCCCTTCCAAGACAAGAAAGCGGTGAGGGGGGCGTTCCTTGGGGATACGTGCTGCTGGGTCAGAAGGCAGAAGAGCATGGAGAGACAAATGGGGTTGCAAGACACACAGGCCTTGTGAGGGGTTAAGAGTCAAGTCAATAGGGATGGATTCATAAAACCAAGTCCTATTCTGATAAAAACAGGCAACATCTCCTGTCTTATTGCTGACAACCTGGCTAATTATAAGCATATTCAGGTTTGGAGACTACAGTTTGGCCCACGGGAGGCAGGAGACCCAGGTACTCCAAACTGTGGCTTGGCTCCTAACTCCGACTGCAATGTGGGAAAGCCACTCTGGCTCCTTGAACCTCAGTTTCTTCACGTGCAGAATGAAGGCACAGGCCAAGCAGTTAATGTCCGTGGTACTCGAGTTAGTTAGAAGAGTTTAAAAAGACATATGGGGCTCCTGGAGCTCCTGCTCGTTCTGAGAGTCTGTCCACAATTCTTCTGCATTCTTCTTGCTTATGGAGCAGAAGTAGCTTTTCATACAAGTACCCAGCTGCCCTGAATGATAGAACCACCTGATTTTTTTTTTTTTTTTAGTTTCCTGCACAGAGCTCATTATGAAAGAGTAAGTGATAGCGTTCCTGTCATGTGGTTTCTTAACTTTGCATTCCCCATAGTCAGCTGTATCTGGGTACCCCAAACAGGCGCAAGGATGCGAAGGGGGGGGCTCCCCCACACATAATGGAACTGGGCTTGCTCTCAGCAGGAACGCTGGCACAGAGCAACTCTGACTCCCATCCTCGTTTTGA